GCTTCTATCAACTTTTCTGTACTCAACTGAAGAAGCCTACTGTGTAGGCGAAACGTTTCGAAATAAAGATACCTAACTGTTGCATATGTGTCTTACCCACAGAAGATACAATGCCAAGCGTGTACAAAGGAACAAACAATTTCAAGCACTGAAAATTTTAGAAATCACACAATAGCTTCACTGAAGGTTTTTTCTAAGCTAAAATTTGGTGTCCTAGATTAATCCTTGCACAATTTCCTCCCTTGAGAGTATAAAATGACAGCCTGCCATATTAACAACAAGAAACATGGCCGACAAACACCATATGGAGCAAGCTCGTTTGACAATGTAACATTCCAAACAGCGTTTTATCGTGTAGTGACAAAGTTAATAACGATGGTACAAACACCAGGACAAATATTTATCAAGTCTTAGTAAGGTCCACAATGGGTGAAACATCAGCTGTATCAAGGAGCAGCCAAGGTAGCCTAGCCCCTCCTTCCATATTATCATTATTAGTCAAAACTAAGCACTAAACCCACAAGGGAGCCTCCTTCCATAAAAGAAAACTCCATGTAATGAACCTCTATATAACTAACCTTGGAAATACAGAAACAAAATCAAGCTAGGCAAGTAGATTTGGAAACTATGGACAAAGTCCCTTGGGTATAGAATTGTATGTAATGTTTACAATCTTCTCTATTCACTACAACAGTTATTACTAATCATCCACTTTCCCCTATTAGTCCATTATTAAATGCATAACCAAGTATTGTCCTTTTATGTAAATTGTATCATATAGAAATGTTTGAATTTTGAATTTTAAATGCTGAGGTTGTAAAAATCCTGGAGCTGGCCTGGTCAAGCATTGTTCTGGGGGGGGGCACTGACCCCTGGAACACCAGGTAGACTCCCTCTCCAAAAGGTTTATTTATTACAAATCATCTGTTTCCCCATATTTGTACATTAATGCAGAGGTAAAAATTCTGGAGTTCCCAGCCAGAGTAGAAACATTGGACTTGTTTCTTTCCACCTGTTGTCTATGTTCCCCATCAGTAAAATGGGTACCTGGGTGTTAGTCGACTGGTGTGGGTCGCATCCTGGGACACTGACCTAAGGAGGCCTGGTCACAGACCGGGCCGCGGGGGCGTTGACCCCCGGAACTCTCTCCAGAAACCTCTCCCCTCAAGAAAGGTTCCTTGATGTTGGTGAGGGGCTCTTGATTTAGGGAATTGGATCTGTGCTCTAGTTCCCCGAATTAAGCCTGAATGCCTTCCACATCCCCCCCCAGGCACTGTATAATCCTCCGGGTTTAGCGCTTCCCCCTTGATTATAATAATAATAATAATCCAGAAACCTCTTGTACGAAAGGGTTTTTCTCTTTGAGTGTCTTCGTGTTGTTTATCAAGTCACAATGAAGCTGTTTGAAAGAACATGTCGTCTCTAAGGATCTGCTATGTTCATATCCCTACCATACATGTTGTCGACAAGTCTTGCCTCTCAACAGTGAAGATCTCTTTACGACTTAACATTTGGCACTCAAGGTTAACTCTCTCGTTAAACTTACACACACCAACTCGTTATATTGTTCACGTGAATCGAACGCGTCCCACTACAGGGACACGTTCAAACGCCATTTTTTTTTACATTCTTAAAACATTTTGGTTTTATCTTTTTGACTTTGAGCAATATATGTTAAGTTACCATTATAGAAGTACATGCTAAATTCCTGGCAACTACTTAAAAAAAAAGACAAAAAAGGGAAAATAAACCTTATTTTCGATAATCTAACAAAAAACATTTCATAAACTTTTGGTACAACTAAGAATGGAAATTCTTTTGTTTCCCCTGCAAACTTAAGTCTCATCTTCGACAAGGCTAGGGAAAAAATTCAGAAAAAAAGTAGAGAGAAAAACTTAATTACATAATTCTAAAAAAAAAGGAACAGGTACTAAAACATATTGGTTTTTTTAGTTGAAAAATGCTAAAACAAAATAAGCAGGAGGTTTACATTATCCTTTTACAATTTTGAACTAGGAATATAGTGGTTAATGATAAAAATGTCGACTCGTTTTTAATTCTTAACAATTTCTTGTTTCTGTCACGCTTTCTAAGTAGGCCTGCCAAACAAGCCAAATTTTTAATTTATTTTTAATAAAAAAATAGGCATCGCGGAGAAATTTTCACATGTATAAACATGGTATATACATTTTATATCCACAAAAAACAATTTGGCACTCTAGCCTTATTAATATTTATGTATCCTAGCAACTATTCAGTCTACTTAACCGTGGCAAAGTTAGCTAAATTTTAGCTATTATTAATTTTGTGATATACAAATTTAAGTCGTTATTGCCAAATTAATAAGTAAGCATTACTTGCCATCATCTCTGCTAACCAGACTCGGCTGACAGGTACTACCCAAAAGCACGACATTGACATACATATGTTATATTCAATAGCTTTGTGTACCTGAGGTTTACTCGATTTAACAATTACGAAAATGATTGTCAGTGTTAGGTGCAGAAACTCGGATAAATCAACGAAATGTAAAAGGACGAAGGTAGATGGGGAGAAACGGAAAGGGACCAACACATGTGGGAGCTATTCCAAACTCGATGTCCTATGAGTATTTTAAGTTAAATAAAAATAACTGGGTATTATAGTGAAGGTAACGATTGTGGCAGTGACCATATGACGCGTGAATGCAACAGCTCCTCCTCTTCTAATCTTGAAGCCTAAGAACTGAATTTACTAACTACTAAAACAGAAATTCTGCCATTCTCTTGCCACTGCCCTATTCTTAGCCTCCCAATGAATACCCTCCACCTAGAAACTGGCTTCATGGAAATGCATTTTCAAATGTTTCATTTTTCTTTTGTCTTGGTCAAGGGGTATGGAGGGAGCCTAGTGGTTGGGTGTGACAAGAGAATAAGAGAGAACTTCTGCACTGGGTAAACTGGTTATATCCTGGTTAAAACTATTGTCGGCGTGGAAGCAAGGCGGTGTATGGACAGCAATAGGCTACATGCGTAGGGCTCTTAACCTGTTTGTGTGTCATGGCACAAGGCTTCTGAACTAAGCAAGGTATAATTCCTGTGGCATAAGCTTTATGCTTTAAGGAATACACTATACATTTAAGTTGTTTAAACAAGATTCAGAGCCTTTTAAACAGGTAGTAAGACTTTCCCATGGGCTCACTGCCACAATGACAAGGCCATGGGCTCACTGCCATGTGGCTCTGCCACAAAGACAAGGCCATGGGGCTGTGCCAGATTGACAAGGCCATGGGCTCTGCCACAATGACAAGGCCATGGGCTCTGTCACAATGACAAGGCCATGGGCTCTGCCACAATGACAAGGCCATGGGGCTGTGCCAGATTGACAAGGCCATGGGCTCTGCCACAATGACAAGGCCATGGGCTCTGCCACAATGACAAGGCCATGGGCTCTGTCACAATGACAAGGCCATGGGCTCTGCCACAATGACAAGGCCATGGGCTCTGTCACAATGACAAGGCCATGGGCTCTGCCACAAAGACAAGGCCATGGGGCTGTGCCACAATGACAAGGCCATGAGCTCTGCCACAATGACAAGGCCATGGGCTCACTGCCACAATGACAAGGCCATGGGCTCTGCCACAATGACAAGGCCATGGGCTCTGTCACAATGACAAGGCCATGGGCTCACTGCCACAATGACAAGGCCATGGGCTCACTGCCACAATGACAAGGCCATGGGCTCACTGCCACAATGACAAGGCCATGGGCTCACTGCCACAATGACAAGGCCATGGGCTCACTGCCACAATGACAAGGCCATGGGCTCTGCCACAATGACAAGGCCATGGGCTCACTGCCACAATGACAAGGCAGAACAGACATGTCGAAAACCCCACTCAACATGGCAGAAACTGGAGGCTTCTGTGATGTGTAGTACAGACTTACGAAGCCAAGCGTGTTACCCACGTGTGTGTGGGGAACAACATTCACAGAGTACGACAACTGTCAGTAGCATAAGCGGGGGTTAAGTTGAGTATCGCTACTTAATTTACTGTTACATGACAACAGGAGAGTCAAGGTTTGTATCGAACTCTCAAGCAGAGCTACACAGCGCTTTACATTCAGAATATACACAAGGCAAGTTAATAAATATGTCAAAGAAGATACTTAAAAAAAAAAAACTTTTAAATTCTCTTCAGTAGGTCTAAAACTGAGGAAAAAAACTATGTATGAAGTATAACTGACAATTGTAATTGGTTGAATTAAACACTGGCTCTTAGTCTCGTCAAAAGGGACATTATTATTCCTACCTGCAATGATAAAAAAGATGGGGAGAGCCGGGAAGTTTAAAACAATCGATCACAGCATTAAAAGGTAGCGCTGCTTCTAAAAAAATGAGATCATTTGTTCGACAACTTGTAATCTTTGTATCGTTATATCAAAAGGCAGGTAACTGTCAAGCCTAAAAAACAAACATAAATCCAATTCTGGACAAACCCTCTCCACCAGGAAAATGACCCCATAGCTAACTGTAAGTCCAACTATTGTCGACTAAATGCTGCACCAGGACAGAGTACGAAGTCTATTAGGACCAACTGTTGCTGGTGCATGGATGGATGGGTGGATAGGGGATATGTAGTGCTGCTGGGATATACAAACTGCTTATTTGGTGGGATCTACAATACTTGAAAGCAGAAATGGCAGCAAGGAGAAAAAAAAAACAGAGGTGATATAGCAGTGGAGAACAAATTACCCTTGGTGGATAATGAGAACTTGGAATACCAAGGCATAACATCAAGCTGGAGACCAAGGAGACCAAGGAGACCATGTCCTAAGCATTACAGTACAAAGAAATCTGGTATTCTTGCACTATCTGATTGCTGTAGTTACTAGTCCTCTACCCTTGTCTCTAGTGACTTCATCTGGGGTCAACTTTCCTTGATATATAACTTGTACCAGGGACATACAGGGCGGTCACTACGATCACAACGACGTAGTTTGCTCGAGGAGAATGTAGGCCTACGAGGCGTGACGGGTGGGCCGTGAGCAAACTGTTAACATGTGTGGGCCGCTGCAGCAGCAGCAGTGATCACAGTGAACGAACTGCACACCTTAGCTCTAGTCCATACTTCTGCTGCAGCTTCGACTGCACACACGACCCAACACAAGTGCAACATCACGCCCATATATTACAATAAATAAAGGAATATGTATCATAAATAATTAAAAAAATTTTGTACTGTGAAAGTTACAAATTAATTTGCTCAGGAGCACATTTGAGAAAATATTATAGCTGATGTTCAGAATTGAGATCTGACAATGGTAATCTCTGACAGGAAGGCGCATGTGTGAACCACAACACAAACTGACCCTTGTGTCAGAGTGTCTGAAGGTACACGTCTGCGTGCTCGGGTTGCACCTTCTTCGGGCATATCCGACAACGATCTTTGGATCATGGTAAAGTTTGTAAGAGGGGCCGCCTTGGGGCGGCTGCTGGGACGAGTCATTTACGACCAGCCGCCGGGGTGAGGCCACGCACATAGGCACCATACACACAAGCACACACACATAACTGAGTATGAAATAAATACGTAAGTATTTACAAAAAAATACAATTTTCAGTGAGATCATGGAGTTTTGTGGAGGTCCCAGACTGCAGTGCTGGAATGGTGGGTCAGTTGAGGCGGGTGGGGACATAGTATGTAGGCAGACAGCCAATAGCTTCACTCAAGCATCTCTCCCAGTCTGTAATGTGTCCTGAGCACCAGAAACGCCATCTTACCACACTAAACACCCTCACCGGTTGTCTCCCACTGGTCGCCAGAGCTACTGTCCCTCTCCAGCAGCAGCCACAGGGAAGAAAGAAGCATGAGATCTGGTCAACGCCATATATATGAGCCGAGGCACGAGGGCTAGACATAACACTTGTACACATCGTCAAGCTGCTTCACAGACGCCTAAGCCTCACCCCATCAACTTCTCCATCACACACACTGGACAGGGAAGCCATTAGCCAGTCTTCACACTTTAAATGCAACTTGGGCGTAAGCCTGTCGACTGACATTTCTCACACCCGTTGCATAGTGGTGCTGTCTGCACAAACGTGTGGAAAGTCATCAATGGAGAACTGTCGTGCCTGCAGGAGCAAGGAGGGTATTGACGGCGACCTGCCACTGCCTGCAGGAGCGATGAAGTCCTCGATCAATTCCATTCTTGTAGCACCTACAGGAGTGTTGGATGACCACGATGAGGCAGGCGTCTTGTCGTGAGCGTGTGTTAAGAGGATGTGGTCTTGGGGCGCTTCACCAAGGCTGGTGGCTGCTCCTCCTCCAGTTTGGCGCTCGCCACTCGCTTCGACTTCTGAATCTTCATGAAGTCTGTAAAGAAAAAATTAAATATTAACCCAGAGGCTCTCAATTTTTGAGTTTTCTTATGCAGTCTCAAAATATTAGCAATGACTGTTTAACCACACATCCAACATCTCATTCCACTGTTGCAATAACTTCAACAAAATCAATCAACATTAAAATGGTATAAAATACCGACAGGTTGTTAGGTAAGACACATATGCAACAGTTAGGTATCTTTATTTCGAAACGTTTCGCCTACACAGTAGGCTTCTTCAGTCGAGTACAGAAAAGTTGATAGAAGTAGAAGATACTTGAAGACGATGTAATCAGTCCATCACCCTTAAAGTTTTGAGGTGGTCAGTCCCTCAGTCTGGAGAAGAGCATTGTTCCATGGAACAATGCTCTTCTCCAGACTGAGGGACTGAGGGACTGACCACCTCAAAACTTTAAGGGTGATGGACTGATTACATCGTCTTCAAGTATCTTCTACTTCTATCAACTTTTCTGTACTTGACTGAAGAAGCCTACTGTGTAGGCGAAACGTTTCGAAATAAAGATACCTAACTGTTGCATGTGTGTCTTACCTAACAACAAAATCAATCAACATTACAAAATTAATAGATATCATCTATACTAAATACAAACTGACCTAAAATACTACAAACAGTAGAAAAATTAGCCAATTATACATTACTAAAATTGGTGAAAAAAAACTTTGGATTCCGTATTAATTTGCAAAAAAAATAAATCACAAGATAAAATTAAAAAAAAGCGGAACCTCGAATTTTGGCCAAAATTCGTTGCAGAAGGCTGTTCAAGTGCCGATATTGAACGAATTTGTTCCCATAAGGAATATGTAATGTAAATTAGATTAATCCGCTTCAGACCCCCAAAAATACATTTACAAAAGCACTTACAAAAATACACTTACATAATTGATCAAGTTTGGGAGCTTTTCGAAATTCGAGGTACCATTGTGTTTACCTTTCAGAATGTTTGTCTTTTTTGACCTACAGTTTTAAAAAATGTAAAAAGGAAAAAGGAAATACAATTTTAAAATTGTTCCTGATGTGAATTAGCTAGAAGTGTAAAAGGATAATCAGTAACATCCAGTCAGGTCTCTTAAAAATCCTCTCCAGCACATATTAGCAAGTAATACAAAGGCCTTGACAGTTGCTGTATTTTCTTGACTCGCAAAATTGTGATGACACGATTGCAAACAAACCACCGTACGGGTGGGAACTGAACTCATGGCAAGCGTGTGGTAAAACTCCAGGCTAGTGTGTAAGCCACTGGGTCAGCTGGCTACAATAAGGTTCATCCAACTAGGTATATTTATACACCATAGGAAGGTTAGCATGGGCCACCACTGTCACCACAAATGCAAGTTTTTACAGATGAATCTCCTACCAGTGTGGCCATGCAGACAGACGATTATTATAGACCCCGCCTCCACCTGCTTCACGTCACCTCACTACAGTATATAAGCCACGTCTACGGCCCTATGCTGTACATTCTACAAGATTGATGGACTGAACACATCGACTCCAGGCTGAGGGACTGATTACCTCATTCTCCTCCTCTCCTTACGCCTTCCTCTTTGTATTGGACTGATGAAGCCACTGTGTGGCGAAACGTTTCCTAAATAAAGATTCCCATATGCTGCGTAAGTGTCTCAATCTTCAAGTATTATTATACAGCCTTTCCTCACTTAGCGACGTACTCGTTTACTGACGACTCAGACTTGCAATGGGCTCTTTGACCAGTATTCATACCAAACTAATGTATGTTAGAGCTGATTTCCTCTATTCTGTTTATTACAATATACAGTATACTACTGTATAAACATTTGAAAATATACTAGAAATTCTATAAATGCCGCAAAGGTGACATTAAAATAATAATAAAGATGGCTGACACAAACCCACTACCATTATGGTATGCTCCTCACTTACCGACGAATTCGTTTACCAAAGAGGTCTTAGGAACGGAACTCTGTTGTTAAGTGAGGCTGTGGCTGACAGAATCTCCACGACTATGGTGCTGTTCGCACCTACTCCTAGGTTGAGGGACTGATTACCTCATCTTCTGTACATAGTTCTACTGTCTTCAAGTTATGTCCTAGAATTTGTATTGATAAAGCCACTGGATGGCGAAATGTCTACAATAAAGATACCCAGATGTTGCACATGTGTCTTACTCTCATCAAGTGAGGCTGTATACAAGAAGGCCCCATTTTACAGTGCTTTGCTTTACAGTATTTTGCTAATGCAAAGGTTTTCATCAATTATACCCATTTTTCAATCATTCATTCAGACTTCTTACAATAAATATATTTACCATTCACTATAAGCTAAGGACAAAAATACCACAGAGTAATATGTGTAGTACTGTATATGGCCTGGTGGTTAACGCTCTGGCTTCACACGGTGAGGGCCTGGGTTCGATTCCCAGCCAGAGTAGAAACATTGGACGTGTTTCTTTCCATCTGTTGTCTATGTTCCCCATCAGTAAAATGGGTACCTGGGTGTTAGTCGACTGGTGTGGGTCGCATCCTGGGACACTGACCTAAGGAGGCCTGGTCACAGACCGGGCCGCGGGGGCGTTGACCCCCGGAACTCTCTCCAGATAAACTCCAGATAGCCCCATTGCTCACTTAATATATGATAGTGTAATCAGGCTTTTATATGCATTTGATAGCGAGAGAAAAAAAAAGGGGGGGGGGGGTTATGATTCACTTTACAGCAGTAGCCTAGAGCTTCGCCTGCTGTATAACTGGGGCCCTCCTGTAAGTACATAACATTATATCATACTGAAATAAATTATTATTATTAATATAAAGGAGTAGAGGAGGGATGCTGAGGGATGATGAGCCTCACACGAGATGAACCATCCCTAATTAAGTGCGTGAGCCCCAAGGTTGTCATGTCCTCCCTCCAGCTGATGCAACAGCTGTTTGTTGCAACCCACCCATCCCCCTCCCAAACACACCCATGCTGCCCTCCCTCTCCCAAACACAGGCATGATGCCCCCATCTCCTTCACACTGCCACCCACATCCCCCTCCCAAACAGTTATGCTGCCTCATCTCCCTCACACTGCCACCCTCACCCCCTCCCAAACACACCCATGCTGACCCCTCCCTCACATTCCCAACCCATCCCCCTCCCTAACATGACCATGCCTCCTCCCTCACTCTGCCACACCCCCTCCACCACAGCCAATCCCCCCTTAAATCTATTATTGATTCTGGGGATTATCTCCCCCTCCCATCCTGGCTTAAAGGGCTTCTTAAGCCATCCTACAGTACAGCTTTACACTGGGCCAGGCCTGTCTGGTCAATCAGACTGTTGCTGCTGGCAGCTGGCTGGTCCCACACATCCATCACAGCCTGGTTGATCCTGCTCTTGGTGAAGGAAACTCTTCAAGACTTCCACACTTGTTCCTGCAAAATCTAAGTACAGAGCATCCAGGATGTGATGACTGTGAAATGAGGGGCTGCCAACAAGAAGGAAGCCTGGCCTGAAGCAGGGCTGCTGGGGGTACCCTATCAATACCGGTATTGGGTATATCATAGGAGGATGCCGGGGTTTCACAAGTGCAGCAGTGTACAATATAACCTCTCAAGAGAGGCTCCTCACTGCCAGCTGGCACTCAGCTCACACACTGAGATCTGGAGGTCAATTCCTGGTACAGCTGGAAAATATTAGGACATGTTTCCCTAAGACACCTGCTGTCCATGTTCACCTAGCAGTGAAATAGGTACCTGGGTGTTAGTGGACTGGTGTGGGTCACATCATGGGACAGAACTGAACTAATTTGCCTGAAATGCTCTGTGTAAGAAGTGGCTTTCTATAAAGTAGTATGTCACTGATGTCAGATTTGGTCTGTATACCTTGTACATGTACTTGTACAAATAAAGATATGTTTAAAGGAATTAACTCTGAACCCAAGTGCCTCTCATCCTCCTAGGCACTGTATGACTTATACCCTTCCTGCTCTACTTTTCGTTGGTGTGACTTTGTAAATGGTCCAAGGCTCTGGTGGCCTGGTGTTTAACGCTCTCGCTTCACACGGCGAGGGTCTGGGTTCGATTCCCAGCCAGAGTAGAAACATTGGACGTGTTTCTTTCCACCTGTTGTCTATGTTCCCCATCAGTAAAATGGGTACCTGGGTGTTAGTCGACTGGTGTGGGTCGCATCCTGGGACACTGACCTAAGGAGGCCTGGTCACAGACCGGGCCGCGGGGGCGTTGACACCCGGAACTCTCTCCAGATAAACTCCAGATAAATTCAGACCAAAATGTCATCGTAAGCTCCTCTCTTCTATGTGTGGGTTATCTATGTACTGTATGACCTGCATGGGCTTGTACCACATAAATGCAATTCACAACATCATATCAACTTAGGAGGAAGGGGAACCAGCAGAGGTATTAAGCTAGGCTTACATTAAGTCTATAGTTGCCCTGTCAACTGGGTCTGAAGTCCAGATTTATACCATCGCCAGCATGTTCTCACACCATGAGTGACACTCTAGCATGTTTGAATGATTCCTGGTTAGGTTCCGCAACCAATCAGCTACTGTCTTGTAAAGTAAAAGGACACAAGTGCAACTAATGTGACATTTATTGTAGCAACGTTTCGCTCTCCAGGAGCTTTATCAAGCCATTACAAACAATACATGGACACAGAGGGTATATAAAGGCTCAGAGTGAGGTGAATACTAGTGAGGTACCATTTCGATGTTCACTAGTGGTAGTAGTAGTAGTAGTAGTAGTGGTAGTGACAAAAGCAATTAATTCGTACATGAGTAAAAGGATATAAAAGCTATTACTTGGGTAACAAGTAATAGCTTTTTTTAGTAATAGCTATTTTTATGTTACCCAAGTAATAGCTTTTATATCCTTTTACTCATGTACGAATTAATTGCTTTTGTCACTACCACTACTACCACCACCACTAGTGAACATCGAAATGGTACCTCACTAGTATTCACCTCACTCTGAGCCTTTATATACCCTCTGTGTCC